TCTGACTTTTTTTTTCTCCTCCTTCTTTTAACTTTTTTCACATCCAAGACTGGGGAGAGAGATGGGATAGGATGGATCAAGGACTTGGAGCTCAGGAAGGAGGCACTCCCTCAAAATACATGGATCCTTACCTGGCTTTTAGGTGATTCAAGTAGTTTTATTTTATTTTTTTAACTACACTTACTCTTCACTTATCAGCATGATTAGGTTCCAAAGACCAGGTCATTGTACAAAAGTTGGTGTTATGTGAAAATGGTGGATGACCACATCGGATCACAAATTGGAGGATGATTATTTCATTACATAACTGCCAAATTACATCATTACATAACTGCCAAAGCACTGAGAATCATGGCCCAGCCAAACTGACTCATAACCTTAGCCATCACAGCCAGTGTTATTCTTTCCTCACACCTAGGCATTCATTACTATGCATTGCTAATTCACTAAACAGTTGGATAGTAGATTTTTTTAAAAAAACTATTGTCATAAATACAAAATGTTGGATAACAAGAAAATAAGTAAATGAAGAATAGAGGCATTGTAAATGTGAAATATTTGATAATGAGATAGTCAGTAAGTGAGGACTACATGTAGTGAAAAAACTGATGAAGTAGAATAAGCCTATAGTTTAATTAGTAGTGTTGTGTTAATATTAATTTCTTAGTGTTGATAAATATATCATGATTATGTGAAATATTAGTTCTAGGGGAAGTTAGATGAAGGGTATACAGAAACTTGCCTATAAAACTATTCTTTAATTATGGAAGTTTATTTAAAAATAAAGTGTTTTTTTTTTAAAAATACTGCACACGTGACTCTCAGATGACATTTAAAAGAAAATGTGAATAGTCCACAAAGACAATGTTCTATATCCTACTTTGGTGAGTAATGAGTGAAGTCCTAAAAGCTTTTGAGTGGTCATCTGAGGTGCAACTATTGGCCTCTCCCCTTCTGGAGCAAAGAAGAGTGGAGAAATCAAAGACACAGGAAAACAATTAATCTAAAGGACCAATGGACCATCTGAACCCCAGCCTCCAGAAGCCAGAGACAGTAAGAACTAGATGGTGCCTGCCTACCACTGCTGAAAGCTCTGAAAGGGATCACAATAGGAGGTCCTGGATGGAGTACAAGAAAACTATGTACCAAAACTCAAAATCATAAAAAAAAATACCAGGCTCACTGCTCTGATGAAGACTGGTAGAACCCTGAGACTGTGGCCCTTAGACACCCTTCAAACCAGGAACTGAACTCAACCCCCAAGGCTCAACTTTCAGCCATACAACAGATAAGCCTACAAAGTGAACTATAATACCAGGAAGGTAAGCACTCATTGGAACAACATCAAAAGGGCAGCATTTGCCTAGGAATAAAGCTAAAACGCAGGAAGGGATAGGAAAGAATGATGAAGGGAAATGTAAACACAGGGAGGAAGTGGGAAGAGTGCTGTTACATTGCAGGGATAGCAATCAATGTCACAAAACAAAATGTGTATGACTTGTTGAATGGAAAACCAATTTGCTCTGTAAACTTTCACCCAAATCACACACACACA